ACATTGAAACAGAGAAGCCAGGCAGACCAAAGCAAGGACAGACCACCAGAACAAGAAGACTTAGAATAAGAAGAATAACCACTCAGGCTTATAGCCCAAAAGGAGAGAAGCTATAAAAAAATCTGAGCACTCATTCAAGAAATACATTGGGCAGGAGCACAGAAGTTTGCCTAGCGAGAGAGAGCAGCAACACACAACTTGCCTTTCTGCTCCAGCCACACATGGCCTTCTACCTTTTCCTCCCTGCTGGCCTGAAAGGCATGCAGCTCCAAGTTCATGCCCTTCCTCCCTGCCTTTCACCCCACAACTTTGTCCCAGTATTCATCATTTTTCTCTTCAGGCTCTCCAATACCTGTTCCCAACATCAGTGCCTAAACAGAGCTCCAAGAAACAACAACGTAACAGCTAGCTGTGCCCCTCTTTGCTCAGACACTCTTGCTGCATGGCAGTGCTCCTTCCCCAACTGTCACCTGCCTTTTTTCTCCCACTTTGGAAGCAGCGGCAGTTCACCTGCTGCTGTTGATGCAGCACACACTCCAGCCACCCCACACTGCAACAGCTGCTACTGCAGCATAACAAATGCCACCTGTAACCCTGAAGCAAGATGTCGAGCAGCAATTCCCTCTTCCTCCTTACCCAGCTTTTGGAAACTTGGACTTTTTGGATTTCTTCTCCTTGTCATAAGAATCATCTTTCTTCTTTTTCTTCATTTTTTCACCCCCATCTTTCAACTTCCGCTTCTGGAGGGGGTTAAAACCAAGTCACAATCAAAGCATCTCCTACAATGCTACCTGCAGCCCCACAGCCACTTTGGGCCCTCTCCCAGGAATGTGAGGACAGCTCCTTCCCCACTGGACACATTAACCCAAAACCAGACATCTGTCACCATGGTTCTGGCACACCCTGTCTTCAACATTTCACAGCACAAGCAGCTTTTATGCTACAGATGATCCCATCAATAAAGGGGAAGGGATGCCAAGTGCTCCAGCCGTTTCCCCTCTAGCTGCCTGGCTTCAGCATTATGAAAACAGGGCTGGCTCCAACAGACATTGCCACCAAAGAGAAGTGCTGGTTTCTCCATCCCCACAGTGCTAAGCGACCTTTCAGGGTGACAGGCGGCTGCTGTCACCTCTACTCTAGGAAGCAGGGAACCCCACCAGACACTGAGCCACGGCAGACATGCTTCATTTTACTATCAGATATGGGGACAGAATGGGATTTCAAGTGCTCATCCCTGCTCTCTCTACACCAACTCACAAATCTCACTCTGCCTCAAATGTCAACACACTTTCACGCAGCAAACCCCGCCAGCTCTAACAGAAGAAATAATGGAGAAAGCTGGTCTGCTCACCTTGGGACACTTCTTTTTCTTCTCTTTAACATAGTCATCTTCAGATTCAGAAGCTTGCCGAAACTGCAGTGTTCCTGAGTTGATGTAAAACCCTCCATACTTCGTAGTAAGAGAAGCCGGAACAAGCTCATCATACTGGAAAAAACAGAGAACAATCTGTTGCCACTGTAAGCTCTGTTACCTTACTCCGTAGCTGAGCTGCTTGGAGAATGGAGCTGGATTTGTGCTCCCCCAGGAACAGCCGGGGCTGTGGACACGCCAGCTAACCAGCAAGCTCCTGCCACACGGTTGCCCCAGGATCTCTCGATCCCCAGCCCTGGCACACTCCTGCCTTGCACCCAGGTCAGGGTCTCCCCCGGTGCCAGCTCAGCCCCCCAGGGAGCTGCTTTACCCACCCTCACGCCTGCCCCGTACTCACTGCTTCAGAGTTATCGATGAAGGAGTCAGATTCGTCGTATCCATACCCCATATCAATCAAGTCCTGAATACGGTCCTTTCTGCGTCTCTTGCCACCCTAAGCAATAAAAGATTGACAGTGTGTTCACCTTTCTTTTCCAGTTACCATGGGGATAGCCCCAATACAGGACGCTGACATTAGCTCCCGTGCAGAAAATGGAATGGGATCTTTTTTTTTTTCCCAAGCAGCAGCAGAACCAAACCAGCATTAACTCCCATCATACTGTAATCTCAGGATATGGTAAATCCAGTTTTAGGTCTTGTCGTACAGAACCAAAAGCAGTGCAGGCAAATGAAGAGACCACTGACCCACCAGACAGGCTGACTGTGTGCCTGCAGACTTTACGCTGAATTGCATCTGCACACTTTCAACATTTCTGCCAGTGCAGAGATGACTGTTCTCCCACAACTACTGTACAGTCAGTACAAACTCGGTACTACACACATACACACAGTGAATTAGGGTGGCCCATACATCAAATTTGTATCACAAGACAAATACAGCAACTCGCAATCCAAAAGTGCCAGATGTAAAACATAACATAGTTTAATTGTCATCCAGAGAAGTCAAGTGAGAAGAACAACAGAAAGGAAACAGGTAAAACAGATCTGCATCTCTCAGCTACCCAGCGCAGTAGTGTCCTAAGGGCAGCAGACTCACCAGAGCACCGCACTTGGAGACTTGACAGATTACATCACGCCACAGCAACAAGGCCTAGAAATTAATTTTTGCTTAAGAAAATTAAATTTTATAAATTGCAGTAAGTTATTTGCCACTAAAAGTGAGAACGTCATTCATTTTAATCACTGTCACTTGATTTAAGAATATATCCAAACTATTTTTGTGGACCACAGCCCTGAGACAGGAAAGGAACACAGAAAACAGCACCTTCCATCAAAGATAAAGGACTGCAGGAGAACAGGAACATAAGAGCCAATGACCATTAAAAAACTACTGGTTGAGAGCAGAACAGCATTACTTGTTCTAAGGGATAACTTAATAAAAAGGAGAAAAACATACATATTTTTCTTCAAACTTTCTAGCAAGGGCCTCCACTTTATGCCTTTCCTTTTCATCATCATTGAAGGGATCAGCAGGATCTTTCTTCTGTAGAAATAAAAGAGACAAAAACATCAAAATCAACCCTGTCATGCTGCCACCAAAACCCCATGCATTAAACCCATCGTGACTAGAGCATCCAGGCAGAACCTCAGACAAATCAACCTTCAGCACAGTATTTAGCACAGTACCATTTAATATCTTCATCAGTGACACTGACAGTGGGATCAATGCACCCTCAGCAAGTTCACCCACGACCCCGAGCTGTGTGGTGGGGGGACGCGCTGGGGGCAGGGGTGGCATCCAGAGGGACCTGGGCAGGCTGGAGAGGGGACCCCGGGCAAACCTCATGGGGTTCAACAAGGCCAAGGGCAAGGTCCTGCCCGTGGGTCGGGGCAATCCCCAGCACAAACCCAGGCTGGGCGAGGAGCGGCTGGAAAGCAGCCCCAAGGAGAGGGACTGGGGGGGATGGTGGGGGGAAAACTGCGTGTGAGCCAGAAATGTGCACTCACAGCCCAGAACCCACCCGTGCCCTGGGCTGCAGCCAGAGCAGGGGGGGCAGCAGGGCCAGGGAGGGGATTCCCCCACTGTGCTCCGCTCTGGGGAGACCCCCCTGCAGTGCTGGGGCCAGCTCGGGGGCCCCCAACAGCAGAAGGACACGGAGCTGCTCGAGCAGGACCAGAGGAGGCCACGGAGATGCTGGGGGGGCTGGAGCAGCTCCCCTGGGAGGCCGGGCTGAGAGAGTTGGGGGGGTTCAGCCTGGAGAAGAGAAGGGTCCGGGGAGCCCTTCGAGCGGCCTCCCAGGGCTTAAAGGAGGCTTATAAGAAAGATGGGGACAGACTTTTTAAGAGGGCCTGTAGCAACACTACAAGGCGTAATGGTTTTAAACTAAAAGAGGGGAGAAACACAACAGATATAAGGAAGAAATTTTTAAATGATGAAGGTGGTGAGACACTGGGCCAGGCTGCCCAGAGAGGTGGTAGATGCTCCATCCCTGGAAACATCCAAGGCCAGGTTGGACGGGGCTCTGAGCAACCTGAGCCAGTTGAAGATGTCCCTGCTCAGTGCGAGGGGGTTGGACTATGTGACCTTTAAAGGTCCCTTCTGAGACAAACTGTTTTATGATTCTGAGAGTGTCTCTAGGCTTTCGGTGCTCTCCCAGCTAGTTCTGTACCTGCCTCTGACCCTCCCAACTCTCAGAAAAAAAAAAAAAAAAACAACAAAAAGAAATAAGCAGCATGAACCATCAACTGACTGCTAAACACTTCTGAAGAGCAACAGTAAAAAAACGTAGAATCCAATCAACTTTCTTTTCATAGAAAAACAACCACAGAACAAAGTTCAGATGCTACACAAGGTTGTGTGGCATCACATCCTGACGAATGGCTTTCAACCAGCAAACAGAATCGACAGGAAACCTGAAAGCACCACGACCACCACAGTGGGAGAGACGCCAACCACTGCGGTGCAAATATGGAAATATTCATGTGCAGTAGAGCAGGGTCCCAAAAAAGATACAGCCACATTCTCTAGAAACATCCCTCGATTTGATGCTCTTTCAGAAAGAGCTCCTCATAGCTGCTAGCAAGCCAAGTACCAAAAATCACTTGAGATCAAGCAACTCCAAACTAAGCGAGCATTTCATCCCACGCTCTGCCACCAACATGCCACCTTTCTGATGTGAAATTCCAGCCAAGGCAAAGAAGTGGCCAGACCACAAGAACCCCTGCCTGGATGCCAGTTCTCCTGCCTGCAGGATGCCTGAACACCCTCCTGCCACCTCACAGCTAAGACACAACCAACTCTCAAAACAGCATTAAGCAGCAATACTGAAAAAAAGCCTCTGAAATCTTCAGATACGACACAGGTTCCCCACTGGCCATGAGGACACTTACCTTGTCTCCTGAAGAACCACCTTTTACTTTCGCTCGACAGCTCTTCAGAAGATCAGGGTAGAAAAATTCTGGACAACGCTTGTGATCCGGCTCAAAGAGAGTAAGTGTGATTCGAACAGCTGTTGCAGCTGGTTCAGAGTCCTGGGGCTGCTCTCCATCATCTTTCCGAGACCTTTTCAAGAAGCTGCTGCTCAGTGGACCATGGAGAGTGGTGAACGAAACCCTGTGGGGTTCTGTCATGGCTATGGCCAAGTCTTACCAGTCCTCATGGCATAGTTCCCATTGCATCAGAACAGGTCTGCCCCAGCTGCCCAGATATGGATTTCACCAGCTGGTTAAGGGTAACTGAGGACGTTGGCAGTGGCACAACTGACTTAGTTCTGAAGTTTTGTTGGGAAATGACAAAGGCCTGTGCTGCTAGCGCTTGCTGCAATCATTAAAGAGAAAGAAAGAAGTCAATCCTCGAACCAGAATTCCCTCCAACGTTGGCAGCCCCCATGTTGTCACTTCTCGCCACCCCCACGTCTCCACCTTCACACCACACCGCTCCATTTCCACGGGCTGAAGGAAATGCAGCTCTCGAGGAAACCAAACGACCCCACCAGACTTGCTGGGACACGGCCCGGCAGCGCTGGGCAGCAACGCCGGCCTGGGCTGCACCGCCCCGAGCCAGGGCTCCGCTCCGGCCGGCAGCTCTCCCGCCGGCCCGGACACCCCCGGCCCCCGCGGGGGACTGAGCCCGGGGGCCGGCCGCGCCGCCGGTGGGAGCCCCGGCCGCAGGGAACCGGGGCCCCGGTGCGGAGGAGACACCGAGGCCGGCCGCGCTGAGGGGGAGCGGGCCGCGGGGCTGAGGGGAACCGGGGCCCTGGCGCCGAGCGGGGGGCGCGGGGCGCCGCTGGCCGGGCGGAGGCGGCGGCGGGGCAGCGGCGCCGGGCGGGGGCAAGGGCAGGGGAGGGGGCAGGGCCGCCCCGCGCTCACCGCCGCTGCGGGATGCGGCCGCCGCCGACTGACTCCCGGGCCGCCTCCGAGCCCCGCTCCTGCGTCACGTGCGGGGGGAGGGGGGGGCGGGGCGGGCAGGGGGCGGGGAGCGAGGCCCTCTCGCTGAAGCCGCTCGCCGCCGCACCCAATCGGAGCTGCCGCCGCAGTCACGCCTCGGAGGAACGGCGCTCGGACGGCTCGCCCGGCCCACGTGACGAGGGCGGGCCTATCCCCGATGCCGCCGTCGCCCCGTCCCGGCAGCCCTCGCGCGGACGCGGCGCAGGGGGTTTGTGCCCGGTCCCTGAGGGCGCCGAGGGGAGCACCGGGAGTGGGGTGCGGGGCCGTGGGCCGACACCGGAGGCTGTTTCGGGGCTCTCCGAGCGGCTGCCCGCGTCCCCGTCGCTTCCAGAGCGGCGCTTGGTGGAGCCTGGTCGAAATCAATTCCGTGAACGTTCCTGCCTCTGGGAAGTTGCGTTCATCCTGCCCTTCTTGGCCCCAGGAGGGCTTAAACAAGCTCGGGTTTTGTTTTGGTTTTTTTTTTTTTTTTTCCGTAGAATTAAATACAACTTCAGGAATTTTAAATAACGAAAAGGGGCGACAGAGTAGGAAAGCAGTGGAAGCTGTCACTGAGGCTGTGAACACTGGGAGCCCCGGAACCCTGTGCTGGAAGAGCGTGACTGGGGGGAAGATAAACTCCCAGCCCACCCTGAACTGGTTCGTAACTGGCTGCTCCAGCTGGATGCATGTAAGGCTGTAGGGCCTGATGGAGTCTTTCTACTGAAAGAGCTGGCCAATGTCACCCTGGAGCCTCTGGAAGCTGAGAAATGTCCCAGCAGGGTAAGAAGGAAGACCCTGCTAATTACAGGCCTGTCAGTCTCACTTCAGCACCTGCTAAATCACGGAGAAGGTTGTTCTGGGAGTTACTGAAAACAACTTGAGAGAGAATGCAGTCACTGGCCATAGCCAGCATAGGGTCATGAGGGGAAAATCCTGCTTAACGCACTTAATTTCCTTTTGTGACCAGGTCACCCATCTACTTGACAAAGGGAAGCTGGTAAATGTGGTGGGTTTGCATTTAACAAAGTTCTTGATGGTCTCTCTCACAGTATCCTCCTGGACAAACCAGCACACAGCTAGACAAGTCCGTCAAATGTTGGAGGAGCAATTGGCTGACGGGTCAGGCTCAAAGAGTTACAGTAAAGGGGGTCATATCAGGCTGGTGGCCAGTCACCCGTGGGGCTCCCCAGGGCTCTAATGTTTTTACAAGCAACCTGGATGCAGGAGTCAAATATCCATTGAGTGAGTTTGCTAACAGTACTAAAGTAGGAAGAGCTGTGACCTCCCTCGAGGGCAGGGAAGCCTTACAGAGAGATCTGGATAGGCTAGAGAGCTGGGCAATCACCAAGCGTATGAAATTTAACTGTATTGAGTGCTGGATTCTACACCTGGGACAGGGTCATCCCAGTTATATATGTACAGATCTGGGGGGAGGAGGGACTGGAGAGCAGCCCTGTGGAAAGAGATCTCAGGGTTTGAGTTGATGACAAGTTGAATATGAGTTAAGAATGAGCCCTGGCAGCCAAAGGGGCCAACTGTGTCCTGGGGTGCATCAAGCAGAGCACAGCCAGCCGGCTGGGGGAGGTGACCGTCCCACTCCGCGCTGGGGCAGCCCCACCTTAAATACTGTGTGCAGGTTTGGGCACCTCAATACAAGGAAGACATCCAACTATGAGGGTGTGCCCAGAGGAGGGCGACCGAGATGGTGAAAGGCCTCGAGGGCAAGACTTTGGAGAAGCAGCTGAGGTCACTTCGATGTTCATATTGCAGAAGAGGAGGCTGAGGGGTGACCTCAACACTGAGAGGTGACCTCACCACAGTCTGCACCCTCCTCACGTGGGGGAAGCCAAGGGGGAGGTGCTGATCTCTCTGGTGACCAGCGATAGGACACGAGGAAATGGGATGAAGCTGCACCAGGGACAGTTAACGCTGGATATTAGGAAAAAGTTCTGCACCAAGAGGGTGGTCGGTCACTGGAACTGGCTCCGAGGAGAAGTGGTCACAGCACCAAACCTGTCAGAGTTCAACGAGCATCTGGACAACGCTCTTAGTCATATGGTTTAGTTTTAGGTTGCCCTGCAAGGAGCAAGAAGTTGGATTCGATGATCCTTACAGGCCCCTTCCAACTTGAGATGATCTGTGATGCTATCCTTGCTAAAAGATTTGTGATGTGGGAAGGAAAGACATGGAGTTGTGGGGCTCCGTGGGGAATAAATGCACTTGGTGCCAAAAGCTTTACTGGAGCCTTTGCAGGTCTGTAATAGGAGCAGGGGAAAAGGCAGAGGCTGGAGCTCTGCGTTCCCAGCAACTGTGCTGGGAGTAAACCCAGGGCAAGGACAGGGTAAAAGCCATTTCCCGTCCCCTTTATTTCAACCCCCTTCCACTTTCCAGTCCCCTTTCAATTGGCTGGTGGCACCTGCTCAGCCCTAAATCATCCGCAAACGCACTGTGCACCGGAGGAGAGGGGAGAGGCCGGGGCTGGAATGCCGTCGGCACCCAGTGCTGCAGGAGGGGCAGAGCTGGTGCAGTGCTGCTGCCGGGCTGCCAAGAGCGCACGGTGCTGCGACATTGGTCTGGCTCCAGTGAAGATCCATCCCAGCCAGACTGGTGTTTCAGTGGGAAGCACAAGAACCCTCCACTGGGCAGAGGCAAGGTAATCTCCACTGCCTCCTCCTCCTCCTCCAGATCTGGCACACAAGTGTTGATTTCAAACATTTCCCCCAGGCTGGTAGCTGTGGCTATTTTTGACAAGCGCCTTCAGATTCCTGCCTTCAAGGGCCGTAAGTGGAAAAAAAGGCAGTTTCTACTTTTATTATTATAGTATAACACAGTCTTTGAGAGGGGAGAAGCAGCAGGAGCCAACATGCAAAGCAAGTGAAGTCACTGGGAACTCGAGAAAGATCACCAATACCTCAACTCAGGTAAATGCTCTTTCAAAACAGCAACACAAAAACACAAGTTTAGCGCCATTTCAAGCAACAAAACACAACCCTGACTCCACCTCCGGCTCTCCCTTCCTTTTCTTGGCACAGTCCAAAACAACCAGAGGTTTTGGTGAAGACAAGTCAGAGGTTTGAGGCTAGAGTTGAAGACTCCCAGCTCTAATTTCCTTTCCTAACTGAAGGGACCCAGCTGAATTGCAGGAAAAGCCTGCTGTCCTGTGCAAAGAATGTTGGACATTTCTGTGTGCCCATAAGCAACTCTGCCCCACGTACCATGTCCGTGCCGTAGACCGGGGAGGTCATCTTGATCTCCCAGAAGTGCTGCCCGTCTGCCAGCTCTTTGTTGCCCCGGATGGCGGCGGTGCCGCAGCTGTACTCCATGTGGAAGTTCACCTTGCGGTTGTCGCAGCTCAGCAGGGTGGCCGTCGACTTATTCAGGTCGTCCCACACCCAGTCGAAATCTGTTCAGCAAGCACAGAGGGGACGAGGGTGGGCAAAGACCCTCGGGCAGCAATCCCCAACCAAAGCACAGGCCGACGTTTGTTTTGAAGGCCTGGTGGTAACTTAATTTTTTTTACTGTTTAAGAGGGTAAAACCTAAGTTGTGCACACTGGGGAGTTGTTTAAGGCCCGAACTATCCTGCAGTGTCCCACTGGGGATGGTTCAGTGCGCTGACCCTGAAGCTGTCAGCATTCACCACTTCCCATTTTGCCTAACATGAGCCACACATGCTGTGGTAATCTCCATCCTTGGAGATTTCCAGAACTCCATAGGACAAGGTCCTGAACACTCTGATCTAACTTTGAAGCTAGCCTCTCTTTGAGCAGGGGTAGGACTAATGACCTTCCAACGTCCCTTAGGACAAGGAATCCTTGCAGTACAGCTTGGTTCTTGCTCACCTGGCCTGCATCCAGCCTTTTGGCCAAAGGGGCTTCACCTCTCCATCTAGGAAGGTCTTCACATAATCCTCTAGAGACTTAGCCTTATTCTTGTCAAGGTTATAACCATCCAACTTAATCTTCACCAAGTGGCAAAGCAGCTCCCTGAAGAACAGGAAGATTTCAAATACAGTTACGCGGATTAACTTTCCCCGGTGGGAGGTCATTCTGTTTATCCAGGGCTGGATAAATACACCAAGGCACGCCTGGCTCTGCGTAACACCTTGCTAATAAAACCGACCCTGCACTGCCTCTGCAGGAAAGAGGAAGGGAAAGGCACGTTCCTCGCTCGCTGTGTGCACGCACATCGATGTGCCGCGGGACAAAACCCTTGCTACCCCTTCCCATTTTCATCTCCCGACACAGCAGAGGGACCAAACCACTGTCAGATTACAGGCTTCATTAACAACCGCAGACCTGAACCTCTCTGCAGACCTTCGTGCTGAGAAGCAACGAGAAGGCAGGAAATGAAGCTTGCTTTGCTCCCAATGAATCAGCCATCTATGGAGCAGCCCCCCAGTTTGTTACAGAATAAGATGAAGACGACAGCAGGATTGATTCTCATTTGATCCTTTGTCACTCTCCCCCTCACCCAGCACTCTGTTCTCTGTCAGACCCCTGGCTGCCAGGGGCAGCAATCCCCATGAGCTTTAACTGCTTTCACAACCAGAATCCTGTCTTGTTAAGGGGCAAGTCTGCAGAATTTCAGTCAATCAGCAGAGTTCCATCTTTTCCCAAAGATCTGTCCCTCTCTTTTGGCCTCGGCACAGAGCCTTCTTAGCACTTCCTCAGAGTTGGCCTGTGCTTCATGACAGAAGCCTGCAGGTCAGAGGGACCCTGCTGAGAAGAGCTACAGATGCGTAACAAGCAAGGGAGGAGCTTACTTGGCAAACTTGGCCTGAGTATGGGCTTGGAATTCCTCCTGGTACTTGGCCATCTGCTCTGGCATGGCCCTTCCAATGGCTTCCTTTAGCTTCTGTAGAGGTTCCTTCAATCGGCCACCCTAGAGCAACCACAGAACAGACTCAAGCTCCACGTGGCCTGTGCCAGCCAAGACACCCCGATCTGGCAGGTCGAGACCCTGCCACTTCCAAATCCACATCACCAGATGTGGTGCCTGAACCATGCTCAGTAGAGGACACCACCACGTTAGGGAGACAACAGCTGTGCTCTGGAGAGCAGGGGCAACACGCACACGAGACAAATCCACTCACCTGCTCATAGAGGTAAAGCTTACGGGCACGCTTGACCAGAGTGTCCTTACTGCACGGGAAGAAAGCAGCCAGGTGGGCGTACACCCCTGACCGGATCTGGCTGTTCAGCTCCCGGGTCTGCAGCTCTATGCTGAAGAACAAGACAAACACAGCGCTGACCAGGGACCGGGCAGGGGTTCTCTAAGCAACATAAATGCAACTCTGATGTGACCTGGGGAGCTGGAGGCAGGGAGAGGGGGACAAAGTACAAGCCAAACTATGTGACTGTTCTTTAGGTTTTAGAATCAACAGACTCAAGCCCTTTAACCCAAAGAATGCCTTTTAATCTAGTTTCAGAGTATCTGGAAAAGGAACAAAAGGATGACAGCAGTCTCGTGTATTCTGCAGTTCTTTCTGGCAGCTGAAGTGCACAGGGCAGGCAGGCCTCCTGGGAGGGATGGCGGCTGCTTGAAATCCTGCTCCAAGCCCATCCCAACAGGGTCGCTCCCATCCTCCACATCAGGAAAGGGACTCCCTTCTGGGGATTCACTGAGGAGCCGCTCCAGGTCCAGGTCAGTTAACGAGTCCATAGCCGTCGCTGCCTGAAGCAGGTCGTTATCACTGGCGTGGCCGAACAGCGAGAGCAAAGGGTCGGGCATCGCCTCCGCCTCCCTTGGGGCTGGAGGTTCTGCTGGTGAAGGAGTTGCCACTTTCTGCTCCTCATCTTTTTTCTTCTGAGCATCCTTCTCCTTCTGAAACTTCTTCAGCATCTCCTTTACACTAAGAGCGCCAGAGTATTTCTTCTTCTTCTTCTCCTTACTTGCATTTAATGCCATAAAACTGTAAACAAAGTATGGAAGAGGAAAGGGAACTGAAATGAATATAAGATGAAGGGGAAGAGAGGAGGGTACCTTCATCCCAGTTCACTTCAGCCACATGCACCAATCCCCCGGAAAGTCCTTAGCCCCTTAACCAATGACACCAGGAAAAAGATTCTATTGCCTTTTAAGGTCCCACTGCTTGTTCACATTGGAGAAGATGAGGCTGAGGGGTGACCTCATCACAGTCTGCACCCTCCTCACGTGGGGGAAGCCAAGGGGGAGGTGCTGATCTCTCTGGTGACCAGCGATAGGACACGAGGAAATGGGATGAAGCTGCACCAGGGACAGTTAACGCCGGATATTAGGAAAAAGTTCTGCACCGAGAGGGCAGTCGGTCACCGGAACTGGCTCCCTGGGGAAGTGGTCACAGCACCAAACCTGTCAGAGTTCAGCGAGCGTCTGGACAACACTCTTAGTCATATGGTTTATTTTTAGGTTGTCCTGCAAGGAGCAGGGAGTTGCCTTGATGATCCTTATGGGTCCCTTCCAACTTGAGATATTCTATGATTCTGTGATCCTATGGTCGTACCTGGGATTTAAGGATAAGACTGAAGTCCTGACACTTCACTTGGTATCAGATGCCCTAAACAACACAAGGCATTTTTATTCAGTTATCTCTTTTTTTCGTAACTTATCTATCAGGCATTCACTTACCCAACTTTAAATTTTAAGTTTCAGTTCCTTTTCTGTAAACCTCTGTGCTATCTGAATGCATTTGTCCCATCACTCATACGTCAGATTTAATAACTGTTGCCCATGAAACAACAGCTGAGGAATGTTGGAAAGTTGGATGACGTTTAATGAAACTGCCCTAAAGCAGATTCTCCTGGAGCAGAGGAAACTATACCCATCTATTGGAAACTGGGGAGACTTGAGGATACATGACACTGCTGTTCTGGACACTTCTCTGCCTCTCAATTCAACTTCACAACTGATTTGTGCCGTGGCTTCCATTTTTAAGGTCTGGAGTGTAGATGCCCTCCACAGAGCAACCATCTCTCCACCCATGCCCCCTGCTCTAAGGATCCCAAGCTAAAGTTCTTCGCAGCTGAGCAACCTGAAATTGAGGGGAAGCAGAAAAGCTCATACAACCACTCACAACAGAGGCAAGGCTGCCATGGTGCAAGACTCAAGCTGATGTACAGGTCATTCCTCACTGCAAAGCAGTGACAGAGATTAAACCATCTCCAACGAGCTATGCTCTTATTTAGCTATGTGCATTATTCCAGCAAGGAAGTATAGGAAAGGCACTAACAACTAGAGCAGAGGAACTGAAGCAAGAGAGAGTTAGCGTGACAGCAGCTAGAGGCTTTTTGCCTATTCAAGTCAGGAGAGCAAATTCCTTTTGCTTCTCTTCAGGCTCTCCAATACCTGTTCCCAACATCAGTGCCTAAACAGAGCTCCAAGAAACAACAACGTAACAGCTAGCTGTGCCCCTCTTTGCTCGGACACTCTTGCTGCATGGCAGTGCTCCTTCCCCAACTGTCACCTGCCTTTTTTCTCCCACTTTGGAAGCAGCGGCAGTTCACCTGCTGCTGTTGATGCAGCACACACTCCAGCCACCCCACACTGCAACAGCTGCTACTGCAGCATAACAAATGCCACCTGTAACCCTGAAGCAAGATGTCGAGCAGCAATTCCCTCTTCCTCCTTACCCAGCTTTTGGAAACTTGGACTTTTTGGATTTCTTCTCCTTGTCATAAGAATCATCTTTCTTCTTCTTCTTCATTTTTTCACCTCCATCTTTCAACTTCCGCTTCTGGAGGGGGTTAAAACCAAGTCACAATCAAAGCATCTCCTACAATGCTACCTGCAGCCCCACAGCCACTTTGGGCCCTCTCCCAGGAATGTGAGGACAGCTCCTTCCCCACTGGACACATTAACCCAAAACCAGACATCTGTCACCATGGTTCTGGCACACCCTGTCTTCAACATTTCACAGCACAAGCAGCTTTTATGCTACAGACGATCCCATCAATAAAGGGGAAGGGATGCCAAGTGCTCCAGCCGTTTCCCCTCTAGCTGCCTGGCTTCAGCATTATGAAAACAGGGCTGGCTCCAACAGACATTGCCACCAAAGAGAAGCGCTGGTTTCTCCATCCCCACAGTGCTAAGCGACCTTTCAGGGTGACAAGCGGCTGCTGTCACCTCTGCTCTGCTCACCTTGGGACACTTCTTCATCTCTTTAAAATAGTCATCTTCAGATTCAGATGCTGACCGAAATTCTAGTATTCCTGAGTTGATGTAAAACCCTCCATACTTCGTAGTAAGAGAAGCCGGAACAAACTCATCATACTGGAAAAAACAGAGAACAATCTGTTGCCACTGTAAGCTCTGTTACCTTACTCCGTAGCTGAGCTGCTTGGAGAATGGAGCTGGATTTGTGCTCCCCCAGGAACAGCCGGGGCTGTGGACACGCCAGCTAACCAGCAAGCTCCTGCCACACGGTTGCCCCAGGATCTCTCGATCCCCAGCCCTGGCACACTCCTGCCTTGCACCCAGGTCAGGGTCTCCCCCGGTGCCAGCTCAGCCCCCCAGGGAGCTGCTTTACCCACCCTCACGCCTGCCCCGTACTCACTGCTTCAGAGTTATCGATGAAGGAGTCAGATTCGTCGTATCCATACCCCATATCAATCAAGTCCTGAATACGGTCCTTTCTGCGTCTCTTGCCACCCTAAGCAATAAAAGATTGACAGTGTGTTCACCTTTCTTTTCCAGTTACCATGGGGATAGCCCCAATACAGGACACTGACATTGGCTCCCGTGCAGAAAATGGAATGGTATCTTTTTTTTTTTTCCAAGTAGCAGCAGAACCAAACCAGCATTAGGTGGTTGAGAGCTGAACAGCATTGTCCATAGTAAGGCATAACATAATAGATAGAAGAAAAACATACATATTTTTCTTCAAACTTCCTAGCAAGAGCCTCCACTTCATGTCTTTCATTTTCATCATCATTAAAGGCATCAGCAGGGTCTTCCTTCTGTAGAAGTAAGAGAGACAAAAACATCAGAATCAGTCCTGTCACACTGCCACAAAAACATCGTGCATGAAACCCATCACAACTAGAGCACCCACGCAGAAGCTCAGACAAATTAACCTTCAGCACAATACTGGGTTTTGAGTGCTCTCCCAGCTAGTTCTGTACCTGCCTCTGACCCTCCCAACTCTCAGAAAAAAAAAAAAAAAAAACAAAAATAAGCAGCATGAACCATCAACTGACTGCTAAACACTTCTGAAGCAGCAACAGTAAAAAAAAGTAGAATCCAATCAACTTTCTTTTCATAGAAAAACAACCACAGAACAAAGTTCAGATGCTACACAAGGTTGTGTGGCATCACATCCTGACGAATGGCTTTCAACCAGCAAACAGAATTGACAGGCAACACCTGAAAGCACCATGACCACCACAGTGGGAGAGACGCCAACCACTGTGGTGCGAATATGGAAATATTCATGTGCAGTAGAGCAGGGTCCCAAAAAAGATACAGCCACATTCTCTAGAAACATCCCTCGATTTGATGCTCTTTCAGAAAGAGCTCCTCATAGCTGCTAGCAAGCCAAGTACCAAAAATCACTTGAGATCAAGCAACTCCAAACTAAGCGAGCATTTCATCCCACGCTCTGCCACCAACACGCCACCTTTCTGATGTGAAATTCCAGCCAAGGCAAAGAAGTGGCCAGACCACAAGAACCCCTGCCTGGATGCCAGTTCTCCTGCCTGCAGGATGCCTGAACACCCTCCTGCCACCTCACAGCTAAGACACAACCAACTCTCAAAACAGCATTAAGCAGCAATACTGAAAAAAAGCCTCTGAAATCTTCAGATACGACACAGGTTCCCCACTGGCCATGAGGACACTTACCTTGTCTCCTGAAGAACCACCTTTTACTTTCGCTCGACAGCTCTTCAGAAGATCAGGGTAGAAAAATTCTGGACAACGCTTGTGATCCGGCTCAAAGAGAGTAAGTGTGATTCGAACAGCTGTTGCAGCTGGTTCAGAGTCCTGGGGCTGCTCTCCATCATCTTTCCGAGACCTTTTCAAGAAGCTGCTGCTCAGTGGACCATGGAGAGTGGTGAACGAAACCCTGTGGGGTTCTGTCATGGCTATGGCCAAGTCTTACCAGTCCTCATGGCATAGTTCCCATTGCATCAGAACAGGTCTGCCCCAGCTGCCCAGATATGGATTTCACCAGCTGGTTAAGGGTAACTGAGGACGTTGGCAGTGGCACAACTGACTTAGTTCTGAAGTTTTGTTGGGAAATGACAAAGGCCTGTGCTGCTAGCGCTTGCTGCAATCATTAAAGAGAAAGAAAGAAGTCAATCCTCGAACCAGAATTCCCTCCAACGTTGGCAGCCCCCATGTTGTCACTTCTCGCCACCCCCACGTCTCCACCTTCACACCACACCGCTCCATTTCCACGGGCTGAAGGAAATGCAGCTCTCGAGGAAACCAAACGACCCCACCAGACTTGCTGGGACACGGCCCGGCAGCGCTGGGCAGCAACGCCGGCCTGGGCTGCACCGCCCCGAGCCAGGGCTCCGCTCCGGCCGGCAGCTCTCCCGCCGGCCCGGACACCCCCGGCCCCCGCGGGGGACTGAGCCCGGGGGCCGGCCGCGCCGCCGGTGGGAGCCCCGGCCGCAGGGAACCGGGGCCCCGGTGCGGAGGAGACACCGAGGCCGGCCGCGCTGAGGGGGAGCGGGCCGCGGGGCTGAGGGGAACCGGGGCCCTGGCGCCGAGCGGGGGGTGCTGGAGCTGAAGGAATGGGGCTGAGGGTGGGCAGCCGGGGCCGAGGCTGAGGGGGGAAGCTGAGGGGGGAAGCTGAGGGGCGCGCCCGCCCCGCACTCACAGCCGCCGCCGCCGCCGCCGCCCGGCTCTGGGAGCCGCTGCCCTCGCGCTGGAGCAGGCTGGCATCGCAATGCCACGCGCCCAACCGACGCCGGCCAAGCCCACGTGACTGGGGCGGGCCCACCCGCGCGGCCCTCGCACGTGCGGCCGCGGCGGGGCCGAGATGGCGGCCGCGGGCTGAGGCCGGCGCGGGGCGAAGCCGCTTCCCCAACGGCGCTGGCTCGCGGCCCCCTCAGCGCGGCGATACCCGCCCAGGCGGCGGCCAGCACCCCCTTCCCACCCCTGGGGAAAATAACCAGTTGGAAAGATGAGGGGATTCCAGCGTTTATTATTAAAGAAAAAAAAAAAAAAAAAAAAAAAAAAAAAAGGCAAGTGGATGAATTCAGGGAACAAATGGAATCTGCAGGCAGGAGGAGCTCTGGCTGTGGCAGCTGAGGAAAGCCCTAGTCGCCAGCGGGAGATCTCTGTCCCCTCTGCACTCGTTCCTGTCACGGCTGGCGCTGCCCTGCTCAGCACCAGTCCCTGGGGCCAGCGCAGAGCACAGGAGAGTTGACACTGCCCCCACAGAACTGCACGGCCCCCCCAGCAGCTCCAGGAAAGCTGTGCGGGGAGCTCAGACACAGCACAGCTCAGAGGGGTTCGACGTTCCAGGGAGAGCTCGCAGCAGGTTCAAGGTGGTGTCTAAAATATTCCAAACCACATTTCCAGCAGGGAAGCTCCACACTCAGATGAGGGAGATCTCGGGTATCTCCCAAATCTCAGTGCCAGGAGTCCAGAGCCTGCACTGCACAAGAGACAGGACTAAGCAGTCCTCCTCATCCTTCCTCAGCTCAAAATCTACGAATTCTTCCCCACCTCGCTCCCCCCCGTCTATTCCTGTGGTTTGCACAGTGCTGCTGCTTCACTAGCATGTCAGTCGCCACAGAGGGACAGTGTGAGACTGACAGTGCTGGGTCAGGCCGGGGCCATGCAGCCAGCAGCAGAGGCCCACAGAGATCCAAAGCAGCCCTGGAGAAGCCACTTCCCTGCTCCCAACTCCCAAAGCCAGGAACCAGAGCCAGAGAAACTGGGCATATAACAGCATTTGGTGAATCTTCCTTCCACGGACTCGCTAATCACATTCTGAAGCCTGGTGAACTTGTGCCAGCCCTGGCATGCAGAGCTCCTACCACAGGAGAGAGCAGCTTGTCCAGTCCTTCATTCCTTGTCTTGAAATGAGCTCTTACCCCAGGGGGGGGAACTTTCCCCTTTATCCCATAGCAGCCTAATTCTTTAACAGCCTGTCACGTGAAGTGGTTAAGGCAGAAAATCTGAGTGATAACCAATTCACCACTATCAGTCCAGTCGGGTTCAATATATTAAACTGTTACGATTTGGATACACTGATAGTGGACTGCACCTTCAGTCTAGTCGTGCTCACGAACTAGCACGGCCACTCTTTGGTCGCGTTTGGTGAGAAACCAAAATGACTACCTACTTAAATGCTGCAGTTAAGTGACAGATCTAGAAGTACTTATGATTGCTGGTGATAAATACACTGTCTGCAAAGTACATGCAAATAAGAGTATATATAAAGCACGCAACAAAATTATAGCAAAACAGCCAGGCTATGAAAATGGCAAAGAGACTTTCTAGAAAGATTTCTAAGTTCTTAAGTCTTATCCAAAGGTGTCCCTGTGAGGAGGGAAAGAGGCACAGCCCATCGACTGATCCCAGAAGTTCCTACGATGGTGTCTTTCCCCCACCTTCCCCAGCCTATTTTTATACTGTTTTTTACCTTCAAGGTAGAGTTTGAGTGACTCTAGTCATAAATACCTTTATTATGATGGGTGTAAAATTCTCTCGCCTCACATTTAAAGTTATAAATTATGAAAACTCAGGGCGCAGACTCAAAGAGGAGCGGTCGCACCTTGGAGGCAGGTAGCCTTTGGGCTGGAGGTGTGTTTTGGTATTATAATGACATTGTAATGAGCAAAGTTCGCACAAAGGACAGCATTTTATCAAAATCCAACAGGAGGTTGGCTCAGGGGTGGTCAGTGTGCAGCTTATCAGGTCTGTGGTACCACCTCGTTCCCGTACCTGCTCTACCACCACAGGGGGAGACCGTGAGCTCTCCAGCCCGCTTCGCTCCCCGTGTTGCTTTGCAAGCAATATTGTCCCGGGAATCACAGATGACGTGGTGGATTCCTCGCATACCAGCTGCAGCTGTATTTTACACTAGACACCTTTTGATTTTATACCTTTCCTTAATGTGTGAACAATGCTGTATTGTGGCCATTTTAGTAATTATTCCACACAGCCTTTGGTGAAAAACCTTATAGAAATGCAGGTGAATTATATCGATAGCATCACCTTGTAGCAACCAGAGCACCTCTCCCAGCAGCAAGGAGCACATGTTCTCCGGTGCCAGACAGGTCAGAGCACACAGGAACAGGCACAGAGCCCAGTTTTCACTTCAAGAAAAAATCACCTTGAGGTACTTGGGATTTAAGAGGCTGCAGCAAACAGAGCAACAATACCAACTACTCACTATAGCAGAGAGAAAAAAAGAAACAGCTACTCTTGCAGGGATCTGAACTGCTGTTGCACACAAAGAGCAGCTCCTAGGACACCCCACCCCCCCCACTGACACGCAGAACAGAAACCCCCACAGCACCCAACACCGCAGCAGGATCCACAACCAGCCCAAGTGGCTGCGATGAAATGGATGGAAATGCCCTGTGCCCAGGAAGATGCCCTTCCCTCGGGCGGCTCTTGTCACGCGTAGATCCAGTGCTCGGCCGTGTCCTCCCAGCACATCAGCTCCTCCGGGCGGAACCAGAGGGAGATCTCCTGTCGAGCACTCTCAACTGAGTCGCTGCCATGGATCACATTCCTGTGGAGAATAAGAAAGGGAACAGCTGGCACTAAGCAGAGAAAGGCAGAAGAGGAAAGCTACAGTTTGGAAAATTTCACCATGACCAATTTATTTAAACCAATTGAGCCAATCACATCCTACAATATTCTTTCCCACTGCAGAGCCCTCTTCCTTCCAGCTCAGGGGCTGTTCGTGGTTACACTGAACATGGCTTAGGTCATGAATGTGCAGGAGCTGCCAGCCCCCAAGCACTCTTTCCTCCCACAATGAGGAACCATTTATTTGCTACAGGAGCTGCAAGTGGCTGTTGACCTGGGGTTTGCTTTCTTTTTACGTCAGTCATCCACCTTTTGGCTCCAGATTTCTCCCCTTCTGTCAAAGTAGGTCCACTGAAGCAAATTTGTTATCAGACACCGTGGAACATAAACCTAAGCCAGGAGAGTTCAATAACAGTAGCATCTACCCCAGGCCTGCTGCAGCCACCCAAGGTCACCACCTGCAGATCTTCACCAGTGAAGAGACCTAGCACACGTAGAGGTCCTGCTTGGCTTTTGTTACAGACTCGGATGCCCGGTGGAGCTAGAGCAGCTCTCCAGGTGTCCTGCTCCCCCAGGGAAGGGCTGAGAGGGCACTTCCCCTCCTCTTCACAGCCTGACAGTGCTGATTCCCCAGAGGAAAAGACAAGCAAACCCACCTGCTTTCATCAGAGAAGGCCTCAGGAGGCAGGAAAGACCCAAGGCCAGGCTCCTCCCTTCTGGCAAAGCCAAACCCAGGAGGCAGAGGGCAGCTCATCCTGCCCAAGGCTGCTCTGCAAGCTCCTAGAGGGAGACAGCTCTGATCTGAGCACAGAAGGGAGAAACTCTGCTCTGCAGATGCAGACTCATGTGGCTCAGGGAGGCCTTGCACAGAAATGCCTGGGCAGGACAGCCTCAAATACTGAGGGAGCGAAAAGCCAAAGCTCTCACTTGCTGACTTCAACGCAGAAGTCTCCTCGGATGGTGCCAGGCCTGGATTCGGCTGGGTTTGTCTCCCCGATCATTGTGCGAACTGTCCTGACCACATCCAAGCCCTGCCAGACCTACGTGACAGCAAAACAAGAATCAGCTTCCACAACACCCCCAGCTGATCATATAATCTGTCTTCTAAATTCCCCATCCGATCCACCCTGGTGAGAGACAGAGAAGCATCTTTCTGTAAATAGTCTTCAAAAGTTGATTTTTGGAAAGTAATTAGAATTATCTGTGGATTTAATTTACCACAGAAAAAGTGCCTGCAGCTTAGTCCAGCTTCGAGAGCCTCTCTGAAGAGAAAGACCACCTTGTTTCCATCATACTCCAAGCCAATGCTGCTTAAACATGGCACTTACTTTCTGCTCCTTGGTTCCAGAGAACCTGGCCAGCACTCACCATGGCCACCACAGGCCCAGAGCTCATGTACTTCACCAGCCGGCTGTAGAAGGGACGGTCACGAAGGGCGATGTAGTGCTCCTTCAGCAGCTCCTCCGAGGCCTGAGCACAAAGAGCACAAAGCATCATCTGTTCTGAGCAGGTGGGGATATTTGGGGCCCGAGAGATGCGGGACAAGCTGGGCAGTGCATGTTGCAATTAAGCTCCTGCACAGATGCTCGACTTCCAGGGCTGGAAGTTTTGCTGAAGCCTGACACAAGGAGGGGAGAAGTTTCTAGGTCAGGGGAGCACCACCTGCCAGCTAACAACCACCGCGTACGAGAGCCCCGGAGCGCGGACACAGCGAAGGGCGTGCATGGCTCCCCACGGCCCGAATCAGCCCTCCAGAAGCAGTTTCGGCACCTGGCTGCCGACACCCCTCCCGCCCTGCGAGGATTTGGTGCCCGGAATGACAACAGCAGGCTGCCTAAAGCGGGGGAGGCAGGCCGCGACCTGCCAGGCCCGCTCCCCCCCCCCCCCCCCCCCCCGCCGCTCACCTGCAGCAGCTTCAGCCCCACCAGCTGCAGCCCCTTCCTCTCGAACCGCCGGATGATCTCCCCGACCAGGCGCCGCTGGACCCCGTCCGGTTTGACGGCCACGAAGGTGCGCTCGTTGGCCCCGCCGCAGGCTGCGAGGGGAGAGCGGAGGCGTGAGGGAAGCCCGACCCGGGCCGGGCCCCCCCCGCCGCACCGGCCCTGCCCGCACCGGTCTGGAAGAGGCTGGCGAAGAGCCCCAGCACCAGGCAGATCATGGCGGCGCCGCTCTTAAAGGGGCCGCGCCCCCGCCCCGCCCCGCGCTCGCAGCGCCGCCCCGCCGGAACGATCGTGCTGGGGGGCGGGGGGGGGGGGGGGCCGGGGGGCAGACGGACACGACACCCCCTAGAGCTTCCGGGCCCCACGCAGCCCTCCGGGCGTTTAGGAGCCTCTTTTAGCTGCGTTATCGCAGTCGCTGCTGTCGCGACTGCAGCGGGCGGCTGCTCTCCTCCCTGCCTTGTCCCGCGGGGCCGTGGAGAGAGGATGAACCCCTCCAGCTCCGCGGCTGACAGGGTCAGGCCGGCACCTCTGGAAAATCAGCTCTTAAATTTTCCGGGCCTTGTTGCCGAAGGGCAGCGCTTCAGCCCTGGAGGGCTCTGGGAGCTCGGCTTTATAGAGTCGGTGTTTCTGATCTAGCTTGGGGGCAGCGAGCTCCCGCCTGGTAAATCAGTCATGTCCTCAAGGGTCGTTACAAATTGATCAGAAGACCTGCAGTCCAGAGCTCGACCGCCTGCTCGGGCTGGACGATGTTACCCGCTATCTGGAACGTCCCTCTTGGTTAAGCTCCGACGTAAGCCTCTGGAAATCCCAGCACCTGAAATACGTTCTCCAGATGCCTCGCAGAGTGTTGGGTCTGCTTCCAGAGCTGCTCCGCCTGCTCAGGGAGGATGTTCAGGGTATCGGGACCCCGTAGGTCACAGCAGAGAGCTTCGTCAGCGGATAATGAGGTGGCTTATTCCGTGGCGCTGGCCACCAGCACGTCCCTGGCTCTTTCCTGGCACTTCCAAGTGCCGCTGCTGATCCCCTGGCACATTGGACTGCCCGGAGCGTGTTTCCAGTCCCCTGTCCCGGGGGGAGCGGGGCTGCCAGCCCATTCCTTGCCCTGCAGCTTGCCTGGGGTGTCTGGGTGGGTTTCCCCCTTGGGGGCAGAGTGGTGGATGTGACAAGTGTGACGCTGCGTCCTGCTCCCCAGCGGCTTGAATCCAAGCTGCAGCTCATCCCTGTGCACATGTAATTAGAGCCGTAAGCAATGTATCTTGAATTGCTCTCTTCATTAGCATCTGTCGTGCACCACTTTTTGCTAATTACCACTACCCTTACGCTACGCGTTCGTTCCACATGCAAATTGCTAGCAGCAAGATTTGTTTAACTAAGCATGTTTTTTCAGGAAACGTGTTTTGTATCCTTAAATGTTCTGTTTAGAGACTTGTTGATCTGCTTGCTCTCCTCCATGCAGATCTTCGGCAGGTTCTGTTGGTTCTCTGAATGGCAGGAATCCAGCTGCTTTATCCAACACAGGTTTTGAGTAAATTATTACCACGTTTGCACCAATAAGATAATTAGAAGTCAGGTTCTGGGGGCCCATAGCATGGTTTTGCCTGAAGAAGACTGTCCCTGTTTGCTCCAACACAGTCCTGTTGTGCTTATTATTCTGCCAGTAAAAAAGTCTTTGTAGGACAAATACTGTTACCTGTCTGTTGTGGAATTTGCTGTGAAGTCCTGTGTACAGCTGCTGCTCAGGAGGTGGTGGAGGTTCCAGAAGGGTATTTTTGCAGCCTTTTTCCAGGTGAGGGATCCCATTTGAGTGAGCTCAGCCTGGTGAGGCAGGCTGGCTGATCTAATGCACAGCCTGCCAGAGAAAATGTCGTGTGATTTTCACTTTAAAAACTACACCGTAGCAATTACATCAGCACCCACCAAGTCCTCAGAGTTCCCGTCCCTGGGTTTCACATTCCCCTCTGCCCCCGTGCTAATCAGTTTAGCTCTTGCTCATCTCTTCTGCCCCCATGCCTGCCTAGGTCTCAACCCTGTTCCTGCCTTCCCTGCCCTCCTCTCCACCCCTCACCTCACTGCACCAGCCACAGGCTTTTTTTCTCTTTCTTTCTCTTCCCAGATGCCGGCAGAGGGAGCGCGGGCAGCACGGAGGAGCACTGTGCCTGTCCGGAGCCTCCAGCACCCAGCCCTGCACCCTGAGGTCCATCCTACCCCAAGGAGCAGCTTGGGACTGGGCTGGCAAAGTTCCCTCCTCAAACAAGGTGTTGATATTTTTAAGGTGGACAAACAGCATGTTCTCAACCCTCCCCTTGCATTCTTCGAAATAGCCTGTGCTATTTTGTTGAAACATCTCAAACAAATTCAGTCTAGAGCAGCTATCTGTCAAAGAAAACGGTCCAAACAGTTTGACAAGGTTGCAGACAGCGGTAAGAAAGGTACCTAATGGATGGTGCCAACTCACATTATCTACGATTGACAGTACTTGCAGAGGCAGCAATTAAAAGCCTGTTCTCCGTGGGCTCCCCAGTGACACCCACATGTGTGTCCAGCCTGGCTGCTGGAGTAGCGGCGTGCACACGTGGGGATGGGAACGGGGCTGGGGGGAGCACCGAGGGGGGTGTCCGGGCTGTGCATGGCAAGTGGAACCCAGTTCCCTAATGAATAGTTGCTCAGCCTGTTGGCTAATTTCAGTCTTCCAGAGAGAGCGAGAGTTTTCAAAAATAATGAAGTTTCTAGAAACTGAATAAGATGTGTTTGGGAGGGAACAAAAGAACTAGCTTTGAAAGTTTGCCTTTAGTAACCTAGAATGTGTGAGATGATTTTTAGTCATTGAGGCCAATTGACTGTCACTGTCCAGGTACTTGGCTGGAGTGAAGAAGGACAATTTTATAGGTGCTTGCAGCGATGGTGATGATGAGGTCAGTAACGCAGTTAGCAATTCAGCCAGCAAGCACGTGCGCTGTAGGCAACCAGACTTCCCATGCTTGCAGAATTCCTCGTTTTGCACTTGTGGTTTTGTTGTTGTTTAATAATGGTGGTGAAATACCCCTTTTTCTTGTATCGGGCTGTTCTGTCCTTCTCCACAGGTCCCCTCAAAGATCCTGGCTCAGATGCTTGAGTGAAGGTTTTAAGTTCCTTGAACTGTAAATGTTCTTTTGAGCCTCAGGCAATTCCCTGCAGCATAACCTCGAGGAGAAACATGCCAAACACCCTGTCCACTCCAGCGAGTCCTTCTCATCTTTGAACGTGTAAGCTGGCAGCTGATGTGCTGTGGGGAGAAAGTCTTGAGCTGCCTCTCTAGACTGGGCATTGGAGTCTCGGAAACGCTGATTACTGGTGACCAATTAGCTTGGGGAATGGAGCTGGGTCTGATTCTCACACAGATTATTCCAAAGCAAATGTCTTTTAAACATCTACACCTCACTGGTTTAGGCAGGTGTGCATCTAGGGTGAGCCTGGAGAACCTTTAGTAAGCAAGAATGAGCCTGCTACAAGTCATTCATACAGATGTTTCTGCTGGGTGCTCGGCAGCATTTCCAGCCCAGATGCTGTGCGTGGCATGCTGCCACAGGCAGCAGCTGCATGTCTGGAAGAGGCTGGGCAGATTTGCTGCCGGGCCCCTCGTTTGGAAGACCCAGCGATTGCTTCTTGAACCCTGCTCGCTGGGAACTGGAAAGGGCAGGTACCTTCTGGTACCCAGGACGGTTCCCCTTCCCGTTTGGTTTCAGAAGGTTGTGTCAAACGGTATCTGCGTGGCTGTGGAGGCTGAGGTAGGCTGTTCTCGTGCTCACCCCCACCACAGGAATTTCAGGCAGAGGCAGAAGTCCTTGTGCTGTTGCTGGGTAAAACATTGCAGATACTGTGGTCATATAATAGATTACAGATAATGTAGGTGCAGATAATGTGGTCATCTAACAGTATGTGCGGTGCAGACAAAGGCATTTTGTGTCCTTTCCTCTTAGTTAGCAACTGCAGTTGTCACTGCCTTCCTTGCCAGGCTATTTTTGCACCCTCAGTGATCTGCTTGTTCAGCGAGGGTTTTTACCTTTCAGTTCAGCCGTGGGCTTTCACCAGCATAGTGTTGACATAGCCTTGAGTGTTAGTGCCTGTCCTGGTTTTGGCTGGGATAGTTAATTTTTCTTAGTAGCTAGAACTGTGCTGTGTTTTGAATTCAGTACGGGATTTGGTATGAGAAGAATGTTGATAATGCGCTGATGGTTTCAGTTGTTGATAAGAGATGAAGGACTTTCCACCTCCCCGTGTCCTGCCCCAGCGCAGGTGTGCCAGAAGCTGGGAGGGAGCACGGCCAGAGCACTGGACCCAAACTGGCCAAAGGAATATTCCACATCATGTAACGTCATGCTCAGTGTAGAAAGGAGGGGGTTCCGGGATTGCGATTGCGGGATCTTGGTATTTTGGGATCGCTGGCTGGGAATGGTGAGCAATCGCATTGTGCATCGCTCGTTAGTACCTTCTATTACTGTTTTATTTTATTACAGTTATTAAACTGTTTTCATCTCAACCTACCAGTCTCCCTTTATCCCTCCAATTCCTCCCCCATCCCCTGAGTGGGGGGGAGGGTGAGCGAGCGGCTGCGTGGGGTTTGGCTGCCGGCTGGGCTCAAACCACGACAGTGCCTCTTACAGTGGGGGCTCTGCACAGGCAGAGACTGGCTGTCTGCTTTCATGCTGGACCCCTGCTTGTGTTGGAAATTATTTCCATCTTCTTTAGGATGGCTCTGTGGTGAAGACTGAAGAGGAGAAAGAGGTGTTGGTGTTGGCAGAGCCAGGTTTTCTGAAGCGCCTCTTTTCCCTAACCCAGGTGATACAGATCTCGGAGCCAGACCTACACAAACTGCTCTACAGCAAAGTCATTTTGCCAAGTGAACACTGAAGGGGAGGGAGGATTTGTTTACAACTGCTGTTGCTCCACCCTGAAACAAAGCTGTGTTACAGGGGGTGATGGTTTGAAAGGAGAGAGCTTGTGGGAGAAGCCAAATCAGAGTACAGCAGGAGCCCTTTAGGGATAAACGCAGGCACCTGCTGTTGAGCCCAGGACAGGGCGCTGCTTTCCTCAGAGGGGAACCAGGCAAGCCAGACTTGCCTCTCCTCATATTTAGCTTTAACATTCTCACAGAATCCATAGATTTACCTGAAATAAACATTCAGAGTGCAAGGCCCTTGGAAACACATTTTGAAGCAGAGGGATTTGCGATAGTTCTTGTTTGTGTTCAGTCCCACAGTTTTTTTTTTATTCCTGTTTTGGCAGCCTGTGCTTCTGCCCTGAGAAGTTCCCAGTCCATCCAGCCCCGTCCAAGACTAGAGAATTGACAGGCTAGAATAGGCAACGCCTGTGAGGAGATCAGTGCTAACGCCCCAGGGGAAAAGGGGAGCCAGAAAAAGCAGCAGGTTTTTGGCAGATGTGGCGGCAGTGTGAGGCTGGCTCCTGCCCGTTCCCACCGATGAGATGCGCCCCAGAAGGCCCCGCTGCCCTGTGGAGGTGGGGAGGGGCCGTTGCAAAGAACAAGGCTGCTACAGGCTTCTGTATAATTTGCCTCGCTTCCGAGTTTTGCCAATGCCCCGTCAGCCAGTCAGCCTGACCTGAACCAAGTGTTGCTTTTGGCCGGTCTGGAGGTTTCCTCCACCAAAACCTACAGCCTGGCTATCGGGCTGGCTGCCTACAGACGGTATGTGCCGGGCATGAGCAGCGTGTCTGCAGTGGGGGGGACACACACGTTTGGGGCTGAGCTGCTGACGCTTGGTGCCAGTGTGGTGGCTGTGAAGCATGAAGTCCCTGCTCATGGGGGCCGGGACTTGGGGTTTACAGTCTTGAGGGTGTACTTTGTGCACACGCGTTTACAGCAGCCCCTGAGCACCTTGTAGCCAGAAGTTCACAAGTAAGGCTTCTCCCTGCGCCCCAGGCAGAGGGCTACACTGATGTGGAGGAGCTGGGAGAGCAGTTCTCGATGAACTGTCCTGCTGTTCAGTGCCCTGGGAGATGTTCAATGCCTGGAGCTCTCTTCTTGGCCCTTGAATGTCTCATTCGTGTGCTGCTCCCAGTGCCTGGGTCCCTCCTGTCCACGTATGTGCACAGCAGTGGAATGGCCTCTGTGGTGATGGTGTGATCGGTTCCAGAGTCCCACACACAGCCACAGCTACAGTAGCTCTGTCTGTCCTGTCCTGTCTGGAGTATTTCCCAGGGAGAGCTCCTGTCTCACCACTTCCTGGGCTCTTTCTCACTTAAGCCTGTGAGGATAAATTTTACCAAGAGTGTTATGTATAAAAAAATCAGCTGTGGCCGGTTGAGTTCTGCCACCGGAGGAACCAAGTGGCTCTCACCTTGGTTTCAGGTCTCCTCTCCCTCGCAGGGGAGCTGCCACCGCCCCGGAGGCAGGTGGCTTGGAGCAAACTCGACACCTTGGTCTCCAGCTTCAAGTCAGATCGTGGGGTAGCAGATGTGGGTGGGTTAAGTCTGGCCTTTTCCTCTTTATGAGACAGCAGCCCTGAGGTGCCCATATGTAGAGCTTGCGTGTGAGCGGTGTGTCTTGCTGGTAGGTGTAACCGGCAGCAGGGCAGGCAGCAGGCACCGAGCCCTGGCAAGCAGAGTCCCGGCTCCCAGCCTAGCCCAGAGCTATCTGTGACACAAGAGGAGGGACTGGAGGTAAAACTTCTCACAGTTCTTGAAGTTTCATGTTACTTGGGGTTGAGCTGTACGGAAAAGGCTCCCACCTCTCCTGTGTGAGGATTGCTTTGCCAGGGGAGGTGGTGGCTGCCTTCGAATCGGGTTGCATCGACTTGTATCCTCCTTCACCCCAGCCGGCAATGGGATTGGAGAGGGACTGCAGACTTCGAGGCACGGTTTGGAGCCTCTTGTTCTTAAGACCCTGGTTCAGAGCTGATCCAGCCTCTGCTCACGAGTGGGAGATGCCTCCCCTCCCCAACCCCACCAACAACCGCCCAGTTAGGTTTGAAAGGGCCTGTTGGTTCTAACTCGGGTCTCTGCCTCGCGGAGCCTGCGTCCCACAGCAGAGCAGCAACGCGCCGCAGCCGTCATAAACTAGGTCAAATACCATCTAAACCTTTGCTTGATATCCCTTGAACTAAATTCCTGCCCTGCCCAAATATGCCCCAAGGCGGGGGTTATGACTCGCTGGCTTACTGGGAGCTCAGAAGGATGAGCAGGCTTTACTGGGGCGCTCTGTAAACAGAGCTAATGCAGGCAGCCCAGCCTCCCTCCCCTTCCAGCCCCATCCTGCCGCGGGACGTGTCCTACCCGTGTGCTTCCCTTGCTGCTCTCGCTGGCTGCCTTTGGTGCCCGGGGCTGCCACCAGCGCTACTGGCTGAGGGGTGAGGAGGGCGAGGGCCTCGGGCTGGCCTGGCCCACCCCAGCATCTCTCTGTTCCCTTGGTCGGCACGTTACGTGTTTCACCTCTGTCGCTTCTCCTCCAGGCGCCGGTGGTGCTGCAGCTGTGGGGTAACATCGAAGTGCTGTTCCTAGACACAAGGCAGGAATTCGGCCAGCACGTCTCTGTGCTGACACAGGGAAGAGCGAAACGCCCGTACGAGTGAGTCATGTTGCTGGGCTTGGTCACATCCCAAGCCCCAGGGCTTTGGGAACCCTCAGTGGGAGTTACAGGAACACCTACCTGTGGCTGCCAGCCTGTCCTTGATGCCGTCAGTGTAAGGCACCAGAGCAGATGTGTCTCAAGATCATTTTCAGTCACTGTGCTGATGAAGATCCTCTGTTCTTGTGGTGATTCAGCACCAGGAAAGGAGGGAAAATCACAGCCTTAGGAAAACGTTTTCATCCCGGTGTTCTGGAGCTTTCCAGGGAAGGAAAGAAGATTGACAGGGAAAAAATATTAGTCCTGGGCAGAAAGAGGTTTCAGAAGGAAGCCCACTGCTTAATGCTAGGGGAAGGCTGCAGTGTCTGAGGTGTGCAGGCCTGTGCTCAGTGCACGCACCAGCCTCAGGTCTCGCTCTCAGCAGTCTGTCTTTCTGCAGGAGCCAGCTGAGTTGCGAGTGGAGGAGGACAGGTGTGGAAGAGAGAAATCCCACAGTTTAACAGAGTCAGTCCTGCAGCAGCAGCGGCTATAGTGGAAGCATGTCCCTCCCCATGCCTTCTGTCACAGGTAAGCCCTCAAACCCCTCTGTGTCCTGTTAAAAGCTTGGAGGATGAAGGCAGAGAGAGGTGCCATGTGCTCCCTCACTTAAAGGTCTTTGTTGATGGAGCAAACAAGCCCTGAATGTGAAATCAGTTCTCTAGAAAGGCAAAGCTTGTCTCCAGATGGGTGTTTGACTTAAACCATAGCTTTGTTTCAGCAGTAGCTATTTACCCTTCCTGTTAGCCCTTCCTGGCTCCTCCCTGCCTTGGTCTCGCCTCACAGGACCCGCTCAAAGCATCTTTGCATTTTTGCTTGGCAATACAGTGCAGCTGAGGGTCTGTTGGATACATCCCGCTGCCCTTGTCCATCGTGGTCTGTCCACCAGCTTTGCTTGTTTTTATCTGAAACGGGTGATGTTTCAGGTGGCTGCCGTTACGGTCCAACAGCTCTGCATCACCCTCAAGCAGAAAACACGTGTCAGCCCTGGGGACTGTGAGGGATTTCCACGAGACACCTGAGCTCTCTTACTGCTTGCTGTCACTAGCAGCATACCCCACACTTCCTTTGTTCTTCTCTTGTCTGATGCTTCAGGGAGCTGATTTAGTTTACTAAATACTCCCTCTCCCTGCTGCCCTTAGATTTCTGCTGGTTCATGAGCTAGACTAGCTCAGTGAAGTGGTGGGGGAGCAGGATTAGCCTAGGATGCTGTCTGACCCCTCTGACAGCAGCTTAGCCAATTGATGAAGACACATTTTTATCACCAAGTGCTTGTTTTTCTGAGCGTTAATCACATTAACTCTTTCCATTAGATCAGGAACTATGACAGAACTGGTTTTTTAAGAAGTCTCATGTACTCAAATAATCTTTCCTTTTTCTTTGCCTGGAACTTTGATCTCTATCCCTGGCACGGTCTCTTTGGAAGAAGTGGCTTTACAGCTCTCTCCTTGCACACTGGAGGGGCAATGCACAACGAGTATACGTGAGGTCTGTTTGCAAGTGATAGATCTTGTTTCTTCTGAGCTTTATCCCCTGATGCTGGTATGTTTGGACGAAGGCTCAGTCATAGATCCTCACTGTACGATGGCATTGAGCCTTGCAGGGGAGATTGGAGCCTTCTCTTGGGATCGTCTGTGCTAACTGCTTCCTCCTCTTGTGTGCTCAAAGGCCTACAAAGAATGCAGCACAGATGATGAGAAACGACTCCTGATGAGGGACATCCCAGTGAAATCAGACATCGGCAGGCTTATCCCACCGCATCTACCTCTTCATGGTATCCACCGACCCCAACCTTGTCCTGGACCTGAGCACGTAGAGGGACTGGGGGCCGTGTCGGTCAGCCCCCTTGTTTTATCTGCTAAGGCTCGGCGGTTGCTGAGCTGCTGCTGGGAGCCCAGCCAGGGGAAGCAGCTGATTCTGTTTCAGAACAGAGACTTGTGCATCAATGTCTTGTTACAGATGCTTTCTTCAGCCTCTGGGCTCTCCTTTCCTCTTTTAGCTGCTCCAGCTTTCTACGCTCCTGGCTGGAAGGCTGGCTGTCTCCTAAGAGAGCCCAGGAATGGTTGGAACAGGGGCTGGATGTGTTAGTGAGCTAGCTGTCCACAGGATCAGCTCCTCCCCTGAGAGAGCTGCTTGGTGTGTCTGTCTGTCCCTGCCTTTCAGGTGAGTTGTTGAATGAGCCGTGTATTTTCTGCAATGTGCCCTGACTTTTAATGTTCCTGCTCCCCACTGGTTCTGCGGTGAGCTGCTGTAGGTGACTTCCTCGGGCAGGCTGGTCTTGCTGGAATTACTTTGGAAAACATTTGCCAGCTGTCAAAACCAGGCGGCCAGAGAGGAACCACATCCTTGGGGTAACACGGAGCTGAGGGGAGGGGAGTTTGTTGGCTGAACCCCCAACATGAGGAAATGCCAGATAAGCTCCAGAAAACTCCATGGGAAATGGTGGGTCAGGATAGGATCCTCTTTTCCCAAAGCAACCACTCCCATTTTTTGCTCAGAAATAGCTGCAGCCAGGACAGCAGAGGTCACAGGCCCCCCAGTGCCTGAGGTTTTGGTGTTGCTAATGGGCCTTCCACACGGACAGAGACACCCCTGGACTTCTTCCCGTGGACCGCAGCTCACCGGCTCAAAGAGATGCCAACTGGTGCTGCAGAAGTGGGAGGGCACCCTCCTAAGGCAGTTCCTCCTTGCCAGGGATTCTTCTGCCTCCATCTGCTAATACTTGAATTAGTTCCTGAGGAGGAGCAATCCATCAAGGCTGCTTTTTTTCTGGCTGCAGCACCAACACAGATGGATTGACAGAGAGCCTGTCCTCCTTCAGGAAGGTTCTCATTCAAAGCCTGTCACCAGAGAAGCGAGAGCCATCATTGCTAAAAGATTTGTGATGTGGGAAGGAAAGACATGGAGTTGTGGGGCTCCGTGGGGAATAAATGCACTTGGTGCCAAAAGCTTTACCGGAGCCTTTGCAGGTCTGTAATAGGAGCAGGGGAAAAGGCAGAGGCTGGAGCTCTGCGTTCCCAGCAACTGTGCTGGGAGGAAACCCAGAGCAAGGACAGGGTAAAAGCCATTTCCCGTCCTCTTTATTTCAACCCCCTTCCACTTTCCAGTCCCCTTTCAATTGGCTGGTGGCACCTGCTCAGCCCTAAATCATCCGCAAACGCGCTGCGCACCGGAGGAGAGGGGAGAGGCCGGGAAAAGCCCCACGAGCAGAAGGCCGGGGCTGGAATGGCATCGGCACTCCCCGCCACAGCCCCGCTGTCGGCGTGCTGCTCCCGTCCCTGCCCCTCAGCTCTCACAGCAGTGCTGCCTCGGCTTTGAGGGGTATGAACAGGAGGCGGTGGGGCTGCCAAACGTGGCTGTTAGAATTTGTGTCCGGCTGGGTCCCCGGAGCCAGCCTGGCCTGGCCGCGCCGACACGAGCCAGGCTGAGAACTGCTAATGCACCCGAGCCGCCCTCCTCTTGCCGCGCGGGTTTGTTCCCAGCCACTGCTCGTGCCCTCACCTGCAGGGAGCAGTTAAAGCGCTTTCCTCCCCCTCCTCTTTCCTGCCTGAACGCTGAGGGTAGGTCGAAGGCAGAGCAGCAGGCAGGCTCTCCTGCCTGCCGGCTGCTGGCAGCCGTACCAGGCCACCGCTGGATTAGTCACTTGCCCAGGCTCTAATCCAGCATTTCCCCCAGCACAACCGAGCGGTCTCGGGCTCTCGGAGAAATTCTGTCTGGAGCCGTTTGTCCCAGCGTAACCTGCCAGAGGACAGGCGTTATAAAACGCTGCAGCCCCAGACCTTGGTCTGGCTCCAGTTAAGTTCCATCCCAGCCAGACTGGTGTTTCAGTGGGAAGCACAAGAACCCTCCACTGGGCAGAGGCAAGGTAATCTCCACTGCCTCCTCCTCCTCCTCCAGATCTGGCACACAAGTGTTGATTTCAAACATCCCCTCCGGGCTGGTAGCTGCGCAGTGTGGCTATTTTTGACAAGCGCCTTCAGATTCCTGCCTTCAAGGGCTGTAAGAGGAACAAAAGAGAGTTTCTACTTTTATTATTACACTTTAATACAGTCTTTGAGAGGGGAAAAGCAGCAGGAGCCAACATGCAAAGCAAGTCACTGGGGGCTCGAGAAAGATCACCGACACCTCAACCCACGTAACCGCTCTTTCACAGCAGCGGCGCCGATGCAGCTCGAGGAGCCCGTTGCCCAACGCGCTGCTGCGCGATCCTGCCCCACAGCGTGACGAGTCCATGGCAGACACCAAACCAACACACAACAGTTAAGAGGAGGGGGCTAGCCTTTGATTTTGTCTTCTGATGAGCCAAGTCAGTTATCTGACTAGAGTCTAGTACACTTCGAAACTGGGAGGCCGCCTTAAGTCTTGCCTCTGCTGACAGGCTGCAGCAGGGTGGGGGGATCCTTCGGGAAGAGGCGACGGCTTTGACAGCAAGCCAGGAGATGAAGCTCAGGCATTTGACTGCAGTTTACCTGTTTCAGAGCGGGGACCTCTCTACGTCTACAGATCATTTCAATGCATGTGATGGATGTTTAGGCTAAAGATTTCCAACAGTGTAGGAGAAATCTTCCCAAACGTGTAGAAGGGGAAGTCCCCGTGAAGAAAGAGGTGCATCAGGCCTGGCTGGCCCTCGCAGACAGCGGAACAAAACCCCACCCGACTCCCTCACAGCAGTTCATCTGCAGAGACATTATGTCCTCCTGCACCTCTTCCTTTGGCAGGCCTCTGCGTCTGAGCCACAGGAGCTATCCGAGTCGCTTCCCGATGAGGAGGAAGAGGAGGGCTTCGACGTGCTATAGTTCATGCTCAAGACCCACCCCAGTTTGTTGTGTAGCACCTGCTTGAGTCCCGGCGGCAACGGCAGCACCTCCAGCGTGTCCACGTAGTCGGGCAGGAGCTGGCGCAGGCGGTAACAGCAGAGATACTGGAGGGACGTGCAGCTGGCGCAGGAGCGGATCACCTTCATGCTGCTCTTGGCCGCCGTCGAGCACACCATGGGGTAAAACTTCTTGTTCTGCAGCTTCGTGGCTGCAACCCCTGCCAGGGGACAGCATCAGGGAGGTTTCACATTAGTTTTGACGAGGTGATCTCATTCCTCCCAGCCACCCTGAACCTCTTAACTACAGAGCTGTCAGAAAACGCTTCGAAAACAGTGTTTTGAAATACCAGTCTATTAAAGAACAAAGGTAACCTTCCTCCTGCTCGCTTCACGCCTTGATCTTCTACTTTACCATTTTCTCCAGCAGTGCTGCTGCAGCCAGACTCAGCTGAAGCTGCGCTGCTCCCCACTCCCAACCCCTCTGCCTGCCCTTGCTCTTACCTATGCACTTGCGGTTTTTGAAGAACGTGAGTGTCCCGTGCCAGGTGTCCAAATGCACCCCGATGATGGAGCCTTGGCCAAACCTCGAAGAGAAGTTTGTTTTGTCTCCTTTGTGATGCAGTAATCCTTAAAGCATAAAAAAAAACAAAACAAAACAAAACCAACCCTAGCATTCAAAGCCTGCACTCCACAAATTCATCCCGACTCCTGCACTGTGAGTTCCCGCTGGTACAGCCTTGCCCCGTGCCTGATCCCCACCCTCCCACCCCACAGCGGGCGATGGGAAGGGGAAGGTTTGAGGTTTTGCAATACCACAGCGCGGGCGGTGGCACCGAAACCCCAATCAGTGACGTGCAAGCGGCGGTCCCGGCGCCCGGGAGCTTCACGCACCGGTTCTAAGGGGTTGGCAAACGGCAGGTGAGGCGAGACGCTCCACGAGCCGCAGGCAGCCGCTCTGGCTGTCCTTAACGAAGGGACTCACAGGCCCGGTGGCCTTTTTGGCCTCAATCCCATTCAGATTGTTTAATTCTCAACCCCCCTCCCAAAGAAAACACTTGTGCCCGCTGCTGCCCTTCCATCCACCCTGCCCTCTGCCGCTGCCCTGCCTGCGGCACCTGTGTAGGAGAGTCCCCAGCTGTCCTCGTCCTTGCCCAGCAGGCTACAGAAGGTGTGGCGGTACTTGTCCAGATTCACATCCGACGTCCCAATTCCCACCATCTGGGAGGCAAAGCCAGGAAGAAGAACACAAGCTCAGCGCCTTTTCAAGCAACAGAACACAACCGTGACTCCACCTCCGGCTCTCCCCTCCTTTTCCAGGCACAGTCCAAAACACCCAGAGGTTTTGGTGAAGCCAAGCCAGAGGTTTCAGACTGGGGTTGAAGGCTCCCAGTTCCAATTTCCTTTCCTAACGGAAGAGACCCAGCGGAATTGCAGGAAAAGCCTGCTGTCCTGTGCAAGTCATCACAGCATGCTTTGGGTGGGAAGGGACCTTAAAAATCATCCAGTCCCACTCCCTGCCCCGGGCAGGGCCCCCTTCCCCCAGCCCAGGGTGCTCCCAGCCCCGTCCAACCTGGCCTTGAACCCTTCCAGGGAGGGGGCAGCCACAGCTGCTCTGGGCACCCTGGGCCAGCGCCTCCCCCCCACACAGGGAAGGATTTCTTCCTTCTATCTCATCTAAATCTGCCCTCTGCCAGTTTAAAACCGTCATCCCTCACCCTACCCCCACCCCCTGATCCAGAGTCCCTCCCCACCTTTCCTGTCCCCCCTTTAAGCCCTGGGAGGCCGCTCGAAGGGCTCCCCGGAGCCTTCTCTTCTCCAGGCTGAACCCCCCCCCAACTCTCTCAGCCCGGCCCCCCAGGGGAGCTGCTCCAGCCCCCCCAGCATCTCCGTGGCCTCCTCTGGCCCCGCTCGAGCAGCTCCGTGTCCTTCTGCTGGTGGGGGCCCCCGAGCTGGCCCCAGCACTGCAGGGGGGTCTCCCCAGAGCAGAGCAGAGGGGGGGAATCCCCTCCCTGGCCCTGCTGCCCCCCCTGCTCTGGC